GTGGCTTAGGGAGTAATGAGGTAAAAGCCACAGATCATGGAAGATATATTGAAGACCATATATGCTCCCAAAAGAGAAAATCTCTCAGTAATTATTAAGGAGGGTGTCCCAAGCTGTCTCTAACAACTTGAACTCTAAACTTAGCAGATCTATCACCGAGTAAGTCTAGGTTAAGCTCTTCCACGTGAGCAAGTCTGCCACAGGGCCAGACAATATTGCTTATGCAGGTTCAAAAAGGATACCCTGAATAGCTCCTTGTCACAGAGGTCTTCAATACTTGCAAGCACTATCAAACTATCCCGGATATATAAAAGACAAGGAGTGCATCTGACTTCATAAATGGGAAACTTGATTAACGCAAGAATTGAAGGCCTACCGTCAAAGGAAGCACCATTAACGCCACATTGTGGAGATGTTAGCAGTAGGTCTAAACGATGATTAGACCAGTATAGCATCATAAACAGAAATATACAAAAGGGATTTGACAGAGTGGATGGGTATGCTGAACATGTATATCTAAGCCCAGCCAGTGCCCTAGATGCCAAACGGAGAAATGAGGAACCGGCCACTGCATGGACAGATATCAACAATTAATCTGGTTTTGTTCGTCAAAAGGCCCTCTTTCAAACACTGACTCAGTGGCTCCATCTTACAAATTATTAACGGCATATACGCCAGAAGTAAGATTAGGACAAAACCGGTGCTGGTGACACAAAATAAACACTCGAGTTAGCAGGTGTTAGCAACGTGACCAATTACACTTCCTAATTATAAACGTCGCCCTGAAACCTGCTATTGGATCCGCTAGTTACCTGGAAGGTCCATCTGAGCATGAGACTGCAGGTGAGAAAGCATGTTTCCTTGCATATGCTGACGACATAACTTGCCATAACAATGATGCCACCAACTAACAGAGAATACTAGACCAACTTAACAAGACAGCAATCAGCATTAGCCGAGTCTTTAATTCCATAAAACGTGAAGTTCTTAAACCTGAATTCAAAATTATTTCAAAACATGTAAAATTACTATCTTTAACACCGCTATCCTCACTCTAAACGAAATTTCAGGCTGCTTCCCATCTTAGAACAAATAACAGGGCACATCATGTCAACGCAGACATCCCACTGCTGGAAAACGCATTACTGTACGCAAAAAGTCTAAAGAGAAAATGCGTTGACTGGTATAGGCTATGTGCGAATGCAACATTACCCACTCCCAACTTATATATTCGCTAAGGGATATCCACTGAGATAACACTAATGACATTCAGGTTCAGTATGACGGCTCCATTATGGATCCCGTCAGTCAGTGTCTACATATCCTCTCCTGGGCGTAAGGTCACTGGCTCTATTGGACGCCAGGGGAGCGAGTAGGTATCTCTATGTATCGCACTGACCATGCCATTCGTCGTGCTAGCCGAGCACTTCGATTCCTGTGGTATAGCTCCCAAGTCGATGTCACAGCAGAGTTGAAGGGTCATGTGTCCCATTGCCTACTCATCGAACTGCAAGACCTTATACAGGAGCACATCCGCTGTCTTAACTCCACAGACAAGGAGCTCGGCGTAAGCAGGTTAGATTTGTACACTCTGGGAGTAACCGCTTCCTACTTTAGAAGTGAATCTTCTGTCATTAGAAAACACGGGGTACCTTAATGTATGCATGCATCTCCGCCTATAAGTCTCGGCTTTGGACTGACCTGCACTCCCTAGTTCGTTCCTACCACATGAAGATGTAAAATGAATAAGCAGTTGAAAGCAAAGTAGCTAAGTACACTTCCAATGATACGATCTTTAATAACATGTATACTGTGAAGTAGCTTAACCATGCCACTTACTGCTTTGTACGGTCTGCACGCCTTTATCTACTCCCCAACTGCGGCAATGCTTGTGCAGGCACGAACTCCTGCAGCAAGCGTGGAAACCAGACAGAAATACTTCCATACATACTACGTCATTACATGACAACAAACACACAAACATGCATACAAAGGCACAACAGGGTACTTAACAGTCCTCACACTGAAACTCGCAATAGCCAACCAACGTCTACAGTGAATTCCGCGACGCCAACAAACACAGTGGCCCTGAGTCACAGATTCAAGTCAGCGGATACAGTATACACTGCACTGTCATACACTTTGAGAATAGATATAGCACACTGGAGGTAACACGACCACACAAAATTACACAGTATACACACCTCCAACAAGCACTACACGAAAAGGGGTACAAGAAAACTCTGGAAAAAATCGTCATTGGGCTTATGGATCATGGAATGTTGCAAATGGAAGGGTCTTAGAATGCTGCACAGTAAGTCTACGTTCGTAAAAATGTTGAGACGACACAATAAACTCCTCCAGCGAAATCTGCGATGCCCATAGGTACTTTAAAGGCAGCTGTGAAATTTTAGATACCATCCGATAAGAGAGAACCGCAGCAAAAGAAGAACATCCGCTGAAAAAAACTTTGAGCATTGATCACAACGGTACAGCTGATGTCGTCCATGAAAGGGAGATTTGAACGGAAGCCCAGTCATGCAAATTTGTACATAAATTTATACTGTGATACAGAACATTCATCCCAACAAAATTTTATGTTAGAAAGCCACATATTACTATCTCGGAATGAAAAGCAAATTAGTTTCAGCTCATACGCATATGGACAGATTTCCATTCTGAAAGGTTGCATATGTAACAAATCAAGCCGGCCACAACATACCCGTCATTCATCGCGGCCTAGAGCCGTCTCCCTCCATGCCTGGCCTTCCCTGGTTCTGATATAAGCTCCCCACTGTCGTGGTTGATGACAAAGCGTACAAATCCGTGGGTGAGGATGCCAAATGACGATCATCGCCAACTATCTTCCATCGGTGAGCCGAGCTACCTGACTCGCCCACTGCAGCCTTTCCTTTCTGCTTTGGACGACGTCTTTCCGGTGTATGATCATCGCTATAGGAATATAATGGCGACGTAAAATTTCCCATATTCTTCTTTCACCCGTTCTCTCAGTGACAGGCACCTGGCGCTCTTTCGCTTTAGTGAGTGATCACGTCTCATAGTCACACAACACTGCTAGGGTGGTAGACTCGAAGATCTGGTTGCCGGATTCCTTCATGTTGTGGCAGAAGACGTCCTTGATGGAATGGAACTTATACCAAACGGTTCACTTTCTCCGTTGAGTCTTTTCAGCCTGATTTTATGATGCGCATATTGATCTCTGAGTCGAGGTAAATGCAAATGTAAATCTTCTTCCACTTTATCGCCATTTACTACAACCTGTTTCTTTGGCAAAGCATCCTATTCCAGTATCTTCGTCCTTGAGCGATTGATTCGCAGTCCAACTTCTGCACTGTTTCACTTGTGCTCCAGCAGTATGCTCTTATAGCAGTCATACGTTTTCCGCAAACATAAGGTTATCAGCGAATCTTAGGTAGCTAACTCGTTCACCACTGGTGTTAATTCCATCTTGTCAGTTAATCCTCTGAAACACCATTTGACAATGGGCAGCAAAGAGTTTCGGAGAGATTGTGTCTACTTGTTTCACACCCTTCTCTAAGGGAATGTGGAGCAGCGTGATGCACGTGAAACAGCAACAGTTCGCTACTTTCAGCAGGTTGATTTAGAGCATGTCGATGCGATGTTCTTCCAGTGAAGTCCACTTTGCGTTTTACTTGACAGTGTCGAACGTTTTCGCGTAGTCGTTGAAGGCCACGTACAGAGAGAACTGGCAATCCCTCGCTTATTGGAGGAGATGACTTCAGGAAAAAATGTTACCCGTTGTGTCGTAGTTCCTTCGTAATCTGCCTATTCTTTTAGCTGCTGTTCGTCAAGACTTAATGACCGATTGCTGGTGATCATAGTGAACAGCTTATAGACTTGTGAAAGTAGGCAGATTAGGCGACAGTTCTTCAGATCGTCCTTTTCATTTTTCTTCAACAGCACAATCGTCGTTGTCTCCTTCCAGTTTGGTGGTAGACTTTACGTCTCGAAGTTGAAACTTGAGGTCTTCGCCAGAGCCCCCACAGCGTCTAATCATTTGCTCTGATCATTTCAACTGTCACATCGTCTCTGCATGAGGCTCTTCCTTCATTCATTTGTTGCGCGGCATGCCGAACTTCGCTTATCAGAAATGGGAATATGCTTCCTTTTAGCTGTTATAGCAATGGTGAGGGAAGTAAAGGTCAAGAGTCTTCGACGAAAAGAGCTGGATGTAAACGTTCTTACAGATACTCTGCATCTCAGCCATGTCAGACGTTAGTGCCACATGCGCGTTTTTCACCACGTGATGGTTAACGGATAAAGCGTTGTCTTCTGCATTGTTTAAGACCTCTGATCTTTTACTGGATTTTCTAA